GAACCCCCCCCCCCCGCAGTTTTTGGCAGGCGACCGTGAGGTGGTAAGATTCTTCGAGGAGAACGAGGTGGCGGTGCTGGCGGTGCTGGAGAAGGAGGGTTCGGACGCGTACGTGAAGTTCAAAGAGGCTGCACAGGAGGACTTCGGCCGCGCCTACGGCGTGTCCTACGACGACGAGGTTGGTAACAGTTGTTTTTAGAAAATATTCATGCAAAGAGTAAAACACCCGTTGGAAATAATACCATAATCTATCTAAAGGGGGATGTGGGGACGTCTTTACAGCGAGTGGAGGGAAACCGGCTGGAAACTGGGCTTACTTTGGGTCCATTTCAGACCAAATAGTGCCAAGCACAACATGTATGGCTACATTTTTCGAAGTGATGTGTGTTGTGCGTTGACGTCCTGTTTCGTTGTGGCGACAATCCCCCCGTTTCTCGCGGTGAGACGCGTACTACACTTTGCAGTGCATGTAGAGTACTACTGGTAAACTTTACAGTGTATTTTTTCGAACAACTGGAACCATCCAGGGTCACACAGGAGGGGGTAAACACCGTTTTTTTTTTTTATGTATTACTTGCGTGTCTTAATTCCTCCTGCGGTGCGTGCTGGTTTTTGTTTTTTGATCGCGAGTTAGGGACCAGCCGTCCCTTTTCCTCGTCGATGGTGCTAACTTCGAAGTTCGGTCCTCACGAGAGCTTTTTCAGCTTTTTGTTTTGCGCTTCCACCCGCGAAGGTGTAAATTTTCCACCCCATGGAACACGAACTAATGACTTTGCCACTAGCGGTTCCGAAGTTACCTCTAGACCACCGCGGCGACCGGGTTTCGGAGTGCATATCTTTTTTTATCCCCTGTAGTTCTCTGATGGTTCAACGACGAAAATCTCGGGTATATAGAAGCCGTTGTTGCTGATGTTGTGGTAGATTGCGAGTATTTCGAGCGGTGTTTCGAGCGGTGTTTCGAGCAATTTGCCGTTGTTTTGAGTTTTGGGTTTTGGGTTTTGGGGAGGACACGCAATTGGAAGCACACACACGAAAATAATGATTGTTCGACAAATTGAAAAATTGCGGGACATTTTTCAAGTATGGTGCCCAACAATCCAATCATTGAAGAAAACAAGAAAACCAGATGACCTCAACGTTCGGAGCTGTATTCAGAATTTATATTTTTTGCTCTTGTATTTTTTTGGTCTTTCTTGGTTTCGGGGAGGAACGACACAACACACATACTTGCACTGTTGTGCAGTTTTTTTCAACTTTTTTTTTTGCAATTTCGGGACTTTTTATGGTTACTGTACGACAACAATCCTCGAAAAAACGGTGGCCGACATTCTGGGAGCGGACGTCGCGAATAGTTTGTTGTTTGTCTTGCGTAAGTTTTGCTTTCGGGGAGGAATCACACTATCAACTATTTTGTCGCATTTTTTTTTGTTTTTCTCCCATTCTGGGAGTTGTTTGGTTTCTATTGGTTTCCACTAACAATCTTGGTTTTTAACAATCCAACGATGTTCGAAAACAAAAGGTGGCCGATATCATAGGAGCGGACATCGGGAACAAGGTTGTTGTCTACCGACACTTCGACGACGAGCAGCTGTCGATGCAGATCTTCTCCTTCACGAAGAAGGACGACATATTGGCCTTTGTCAGGGGCGCCTCCAAGAAGCTGTTCCTCGAGATGGGCTCGGAGGAGGCCAGCCAGGTTTTGAGCGAGCGTCCGGTGAGTTGCTGCTTTTTTGACGCACCACCGTCGCTCGCAGGAAATTGTTTGAAGCTCGAACAGAGTACTCGTCCTCTCAGCCTCCGTTTTGCCACGTGCGTCTTCCTACATAGATCGTCGCTTCGAGTGATATCCATGCTGATTAACCCTTCGGCGTTTTTGAAACCGCCTTCGGGATCACGGCAAGAGCGGGCGGTAACCTAGGATAAGCGATTCTGAAATACCGCACCGCTCCTGGCAAGGCATCTGAAGAAACCCTGGCCTACGGAGTCTGTGGGTTGCCAAGGCTCATGTATGAATCCCATGACTCTTCTAGCTTTTCACCTTGAGAGTGACATGTAGTTTCGCAGGGAATATATCGCCGCGTACCCGAGAAGCTCTTCCGATTATTTCTTCACGCTGTCAACCCCCGTCCCCGACCCTTATTCTTCCGCATCTCCCTGCTCCTCCGGTCCTTTCTCGACGCTTGTTGATTTCATCCCTAGCCCTCATTCTTCCGCATCCCCCCCTCCTCTACCCCGCTCCTCTGATTCGTTCTCGACGATTGCCCCCATTCCCATTCCTTGTTCCCCCGCATTCCTCCATCCCCCCGCATTCCCCCGCTCCACTGATTCATTCTCGACGCTTGCCGCTGTTCCCGGCCCTCGTTGCCCCGCATTTTCCTGTACTCCTCCGCATCCCGGTGCTCTTGGTCCCGGCCCTCATTCCTCCGCATTGCCCTGTACTTTGTGTTCTCGGGGACGGACCCGAGCGCGGCCAAACAGCTGGCCATGTTCGTCTTCACCGAAGACGAGAAGACACCTGGCGTGACGACGGGGCACATGTTGAAGCTGCTCCAGGCGATGGGAAAGGAGGCGCTCATGGCGTCGTCGAAGAACATGGCAGATGCCGATGGCGCTGACGCGACGCAGCAGCAGCAGCAGCAGCAGCCCGTGCGGTACATCCACGCGGTGAGTTTGTTCGTTTTTGTCCGTAGGTCAGCGGAGAGTAGGAGAGTAGTATCACACCAGAGAGAGAGAGAGAGACAGACAGACAGCGACAGAGACAGAGACAGAGACAGAGACAGAGACAGACGTAAGTATCATTTTGTACTTTCAACCGCGCCGAGACTGACGTCTTTTCATTGGTCAGCCGATTAGCGCGGTCGATGCTATTATTGAAAGCACACCCACACACGCACGCCCGGAACGATCTTCAAGAGCTTGGCACCAAGGGGTGGCGGCGCCGTCGATTTTTTTTTCTGCGGCGACGTTAGAACCGTTCTATCCACGATAGCTTCCCGAAGACTCATCATGGTTTATTTTAGCAATAAAACTCTCCGAAGTCGCACCCCTCGTCCTCCTTGTCCTCCTCCAGTCCCTGGCTATATTGGACACCATTTCGGTGTTTTATTTGTTTTTGTGTTGCAGTGGCTATGTGAATTCCGTCGCGCGCGTGGGAAGGTGTCAGTGATTTCGAAGAGAAGACAGAAAATATGAAAATACTTCGGAAGGCGTCCGCGCGTCAATTGGACACGTACGGGGGTCAGAAGGTTTCCAATGCTAAGGCAACAACACGCTTCACATCCACCGGATAGAGTCTTGAGAGTCGAAGGACTGGTACGGAAGCTAAAAGGCATCGGTTCTGAGCAGATATCAGAACAGTTTCAAAATCGTAAAGACAACAACAAACACGTTTCACATTCAACGGAACGTTTGTCTTGCGGGCTGGACGACGGCGCCTCCTTCTCTTCCTCCTCTCCGCCTTGGCGCCAATCCCTCATCAGAATCCCCATTCCGTCGTTGTGCAGTGATTTGGGCTTTGATGACGACCTCCTACCCTTTGTTGACACATCGATGACCCCCCTCATGCGGATTTTTCGTGTATCACGCGCTGGTGCTGATTCATTCGAACCTTTTCGCCGGGATCGCAGGAAGTTCATCCCTCTCTCGGCGCACCACAGGCCAGCATTCTTTTTGGTCACTTGGACTTTTGGCACTATTCTTCACACATGGTGTGTGTGTGTTTTTTTTTTTTTTTCTCGCTTATGAGAATATGTGTAAGCATTCAATCAATCGATGGGTGAGGCAGACTCCCATGCTCCGTGTGTCACACGTTTTGTATCTCCTATCCCTTTTTTTGTTCTGCCGCCGGTGTGCACAACAATGATCAATCGATGGACGAGGCAGACTCCTACTCGCCGTACGTCACGCATTTTCTACGTCCTTTTTCTTTTTTCTTTTCTACCAGCTGGTGTGATCAAATCAATCAGTCGATGGACGAACCCTACCCCGCCCATGTGTTGCTCACAAACCTTAATTACTCGCATTTTCCGCGCGTGACGCGTAATACCTCCTACTGTATCCTTTTTTTACCCTTCACTCTTGTGAACTTACGTTCAACCAATGAGGCGATGGACGAGCCCCCCCCCCCCTACTATGTTTTTTTGCAACCCCTGTGAGTCGTAATTTGCCGTGCGCCACAAATTTTTGTACGCCCTACCCTTTTTCATTATGACCCAACTGGTCCATCTCTATCGAAGAAAATAGCCAAAGACAAATTTCAACACTGGATCCATAGCGTCAGCGAAAGTTTTCTTTTTGTATTTTTCCCCGCTATTTTGCACAAACAATCAATCAGGCCATGGACGAAGCCGGGGCTCAAGTGCTGAGTTTCTTCGTAGGGGACGGCAACCGGGAGGACCACGTCCCGGGCGTGTTCCTCGTGACCCCTGGGGAGGAGGAGGGGGAGACCCTCAAATACCGGTGAGTGGTGTCCGCCGTTGGTTGGCGTCGCTGTTGTCCTGCGTCCCAAGCGGGTTTAGGACCGCCACCAAACGCCACTGCACGGCGCTCGTGTTTCTTGCCATCGCCGTTATTTCTGCTGCGAGTTTTGTGCCTTTTTTTGGGGGGTGGGNATGACAGCTGCGTATGACTTAATTCTTTTTCTGGTGCTTTCACTTCCTGAGACAATTGTAAGCACTGTGTAACTGCCTCGAGGGTTGCTTGACCATTTTAACACAACGTGGTGCGATCATCCATTTTTTTTTGGGGGGGGGGCAGTTTGACTTCCCGGGTGAGTTTCTCGTAGCCCCCGGGAGGAGAGGGACGGGAAAACCCTCAAACACCGGCCATTCGTTGTTTGCCGTTCCTCGCCGGCGTCGCGATTGGTTCGTCCTGAGTCCCGCGCGTGTTGAGAAAGGCCCCTGAATTAGAAATTTTGCATGAGGCCAGCGTCGTTGTGGCCAGTTTTTTTTGCCGCGAAATACTACTGTACCTGGAACCTGCTTCTCTTGCTGCCCTCTGACAACCCGTCGTTTCACTCCCCTCCCGTCCCCTCCGTGGAGGTACGATGGCAAGGATGGCGACGACTACACCGTAGAGCTCCTCCAAGCCTTCGAAAGAAGCTACTTCGAGGGGGAGCTGAAGCCTTTCACAAAGTCGGAGCCCCTCTCGCCCTCTGATGAGGCCGGGAGCCTGAAGGTCGTTAAGGCCGACTCCTTCCGGCGGATAGTCATCGACAACGGTGAGAGAAGAGAACGCCGTGGTCGAGAGGGAGAGAGAGAGAGAGAGAGAGAGAGAGAGAGAGAGAGAGAG